CAGTTCTCTCACAGCTTCTTCACATGTACAGTGGTTGAAACATCTGTATCCTAAATGTAAACTAATAGATACAATGTTTCAACCGCTAAACATGTGTTCCTTCTGTCAGAGAACTGTCAGAAATAGCGGAGCTCACTGCAGGGACACTTTTGCCGGCTGATCGGGAAATGTTCGATTCGCGCACCCGAAGTAGGCAAAATTTCGGTTTCGCCGCGAATCGAATATTTCCTAAAATTCGACTCGAATTCCGGTTCGCCTGGTTCGATTCGCTCATCTCTAATTACAATGATGGCAGACTACTGTTGGATGCTTCAGAGAGACATTCCAGATGCTACTCACAAGCGTAAATGCACCAAGAGGAGCCTCACAGGGAAGAAGAATTGAGTTTAGTGTGTGTAGGTGAGCTCATTTCAGTTCAAAAAAGGATTTTCATGAAAAAATTGTAATAAAACTTTAATTTTATAAGTCTATTTCCATTTATTTTGAGGTATTGCCTTATTTAACATAGTTACCTAAATTGTCAGGAAATGTGATGTCCTATGACAAAATGGAGGTCATTTTCGGATTCAGCACACCAAAAAACATAAAGATTACGTGGAATAACCAAAACAGCTCTTGAAAAAAATTTTTTTGCAGACCTGTGTAATTCGGTTCACATATAGTATCACAAGAAACCAAAAATAGTCTGTTAAAGTGTTACTAAACCCAAGACCCTAATTCACTCTGTCTGGTCTCCCACAGTACACAGACCATGGAAGTGCAATTATTTTAGTAAATATGAACTGCTAAATAACTTTTCTCATCAGCAGTTAGAGCAGTCTTGTGACTTCTATCAGTGTTCAACAGAGCACTGGTTAAAGCATGTAGGAGGAGTTTTCTTTCTGCTCTAGGAGGATGAAGAACCCCTGACCTCTGTCTGCACAGTGCTGATTGGCCCTGTGCTGATCACATGCACTGTCCCAAGAAAATAAAAAACCTCTCTATCAATACACACCAAACTGAGCATATGCAGAACAGCTACGGTTCTTAAGACGTGGGCATTTGAACAAGAGGAGCAGAGAAGTCAGGATCAAACAGCCTTTTTACACAATGCAGAGGATTAACCCCTTAGGTTCCACAGTGAGTATAACAAGCATGCTTTACTGCATATACAGACTGATTTTACTATTGTGGGTTTAGTAACACTTTAAGCTTAATTTCATGGAAGCATAAGAACAACTACTGTATACTGTATATCTCAGTTTGATTGTAGAGGGAGTCAAGCTAGCCATACACAGAGAAAATCAATTGACTCCATTATTATTATACAGGATTTATATAGCGCCAACAGTTTGCACACCGCTTTACAACATGAGGGCAAACAGTACTGTTACAATACAATTCAATACATGAGGAATCAGAGTGCATTGCTCATTAGAGCTTACAATCTAAAAGTGAGGGTCAAGTGATACAAAAGGTTTATAACTGTAGGGGATGAGCTGATGGTGGAAGTGGAGATACAGTTGTTAGGTGGAGGCAGGATAGGCTTCTCTGGGGCCTTTCAGGGATTGCCTAAATGTTCAGATGAGCAAGAGTGGAAGTACCACTTAATTAAAGATCCCCACATTATTGAAAGAACCCCAACATGTGTCACCCTAGTACAGTCAGGTCCATAATAATTGGGACATTGACACAATTCTAACATTTGTGGCTCTATACTCCACCACAATGGATTTGAAATGAAACGAACAATATGTGCTTTAACTGCAGACTGTCAGCTTTAATTTGAGGGTATTTACATTCAAATCGGGTGAACGGTGTAGGAATTACAACAGTTTGCATATGTGCCTCCCACTTGTTAAGGGACCAAAAGTAATGGGACATTTAGCTTCTCAGCTGTTCCATGGCCAGGTGTGTGTTATTACCTCATTATCCCAATTACAATGAGCAGATAAAAGGTCCAGAGTTAATTTCAAGTGTGCTATTTGCATTTGGAATCTGTTGCTGTCAACTCTCAAGATGAGATCCAAAGAGCTGTCACTATCAGTGAAGCAAGCCATCATTAGGCTGAAAAAACAAAACAAACCCATCAGAGAGATAGCAAAAACATTAGGCGTGGCCAAAACAACTGTTTGGAACATTCTTAAAAAGAAGGAACGCACTGGTGAGCTCAGCAACACCAAAAGACCCGGAAGACCACGGAAAACAGCTGTGGTGGATGACCAAATAATTCTTTCCCTGGTGAAGAAAACACCCTTCACAACAGTTGGCCAGATCAAGAACACTCTCCAGGAGGTAGGTGTATGTGTGTCAAAGTCAACAATCAAGAGAAGACTTCACCAGAGTGAATACAGAGGGTTCACCACAAGATGTAAACCATTGGTGAGCCTCAAAAACAGGAAGGCCAGATTAGAGTTTGCCAAACGACATCTAAAAAAGCCTTCACAGTTCTGGAACAACATCCTATGGACAGATGAGACCAAGATCAACTTGTACCAGAGTGATGGGAAGAGAAGAGTATGGAGAAGGAAAGGAACTGCTCATGATCCTAAGCATACCACCTCGTCAGTGAAGCATGGTGGTGGTAGTGTCATGGCGTGGGCATGTATGGCTGCCAATGGAACTGGTTCTCTTGTATTTATTGATGATGTGACTGCTGACAAAAGCAGCAGGATGAATTCTGAAGTGTTTCGGGCAATATTATCTGCTCATATTCAGCCCAAATGCTTCAGAACTCATTGGACGCCGCTTCACAGTGCAGATGGACAATGACCCAAAGCATACTGCAAAAGCAACCAAAGAGTTTTTTAGGGGAAAGAAGTGGAAATGTTATGCAATGGCCAAGTCAACCACCTGACCTGAATCCGATTGAGCATGCATTTCACTTGCTGAAGACAAGACTGAAGGGAAAATGCCCCAAGAACAAGCAGGAACTGAAGACAGTTGCAGTAGAGGTCCTGGCAGAGCATCACCAGGGATGAAACCCAGCGTCTGGTGATGTCTATGCATTCCAGACCTCAAGCTGTAATTGACTGCAAATGATTTGCAACCAAGTATTAAAAAGTGAAAGTTTGATTTATGATTATTATTCTGTCCCATTACTTTTTTGGTCCCTTAACAAGTGGGAGGCACATATGCAAACTGTTGTAATTCCTACACCGTTCACCTGATTTGGATGTAAATATCCTCAAATTAAAGCTGACAGTCTGCAGTTAAAGCACATCTTGTTTGTTTCATTTCACATCCATTGTGGGGGTGTATGTTAGAATTGTGTCGATGTCCCCAATATTTATGGACCTGACTGTATGTGCCCCCTGTCAATACTAAACTGTGTGGACGGATGAATTTCCAATTCTGGTCACCTAAATACAGTGGCGCTGTAGAACAGTGACTGCAGCTGATTGCAATTACTGTACAGCAGACAATTTTCCACCCAGTTCACATGAGTTTTGAATTGACTATTTGTTGAGCTGGCGTGTGCAAGTAGGGTCATCCATATCTCAGAATCTGAGCCATCTATGGGCAGCTTTAACCACTTGAGCTCCTGAGGATATTTACCCCCCTTAATGACCAGGCCTCTTTTTGCACTAATTCAACTGATAATTGTGCGGTCATTAAATGCTGCACCTAAACGAAATTTACGTCCTTTTTTTCACCATAAATAGAGCTTTCTTTCAGTGGTATTTGATCACCTGTGCGCTTTTTATTTTTCACGCTATAAACAAAAAAAGACCAAATATTTTGAAGAAAAACGTTATTTTTTACTTTCAGCTGTAAAAAAATATATAGTAAACTCAAAGTTAGTTTATAAATTTAGGCCAAAATGTATTCTGCTACATGTTTTTTGGTAAAAAAAATCCCATAATGTGTATATTAATTTCTTTGTGTGAAAGTTATAGCATCTACAAACTATGGTATAGATACTGCAATTTACGCCATTTTTTGCTTGCTATACAGCGTTGCGCTAGTTTAAACGGACCATTGTGCGGTCATGCAATACGGTACATAAATGAAATTTATGTCCTTTTTTTTAGCACAAATAGAGCATTCTTTTTGTGGTATTTGATCACCTGTGCACTTTTTATTTTTGGCGCTATAACCAGAAAAAGTTTTGAAGAAAAAAAAAAAATTTTTGAAAAAAAAACCAACAATTTTTCTCATTTTGTCATAAAAAAATATCTAAAAAAAATGTAAATGTCATCATAAATTTAGGGTCAAAATGTATTCTGCTACATGTTTTTGGTTAAAAAAATCCCAATAAGTGTATATTGATTGCTTTTTGTGAAAGTTACAGTGTCTACAAACTATGGTATAGATAATGGAATTTACATAGCTTTTACTTTCTGACTGCTAAAATACCAGGATAGTACAAACACCCTCAAATGACCCCTTTTCGGAAATTAGACACCCTAAGCTATCTGCTGAGAGGCATATTGAGTCCATGGAAGATTTATTTTTTTTCCACAAGTTCTGGAAAATGACAAAAACTTTTTATTTTTTTATTTTTACACGAAGTTGTCATTTAAATTATTTATTTCTCGCACAGGCCATGGGTATATGTGGAATTGCACCCCAAAATACATTCTGCTACTTCTACTGAGTATGGGGATACCACATGTGTGATTTTTGTCATTTTTCCAAAAACCTGTGGTAAAAATTCTTCTATTGATTCAACATTCCTCTCAGCAAATAGTTTGGGGTGACTACTTTCCAAAAAGGGGTCGTTTTTGGGGGGGTGGGGGCGTTTTATGCCCAGCAAAAAAGATTAGAAGTTTATGCCACACATCATTCACTCTTCTAACCACCTGAAGACCAAAGCTAGGAAATTAATTTTTTTGCTAGGAAATTAATTTAAACCCCCAAACATTATATATTTTTTTAAAGCAGACACCCTAGTGAATAAAAGGGTGGGTACTACAATTTTTTATGGCACATAGTACTCGCGCAGCGATTTTTCAAAAGCAAAGTTGTTAAAAAAAATAAACTTTTTTTTACTTTTAATGCACAAAAACACAATATATTGGCCAATTGTTTGGTAAAATATACAAGATAATGGTATGCCGAGCAAATAGATACCAAACATGACATGCTTTAAAACTGCGCATGCCCGTGCAATGGCGACAAACTGCAAACATTTTTAATATCCATATTCAGCGCTTTAAAAGCCTTTAAAAGCTACCATTTTAGATTTACAGAGGAGGTCTAGTGTTAGAATTACTGCCCTTTGATCTGACGTTCACGGCAATACCTCACATGCATGGTGCAACCGCTGTTTACATAACAGCACAGGGTCAAGGCTTGAGCACACAGGTGTGCGCGAATGGGAGGGGCAATTTTTTTTTTTTTAGTTATTTTGATTTTTTTTTAGTTATTTTTACATTGTACCTTTCATTTTTTTTTATCACTTTTAATGCTATAATAGGGAATGCAAATAACCCCTATACTTTAATGGGCATTGTCATAGATTCATTTTTTGAGAAATCTGGGGTCTATCAGACTCTAGATATCTCCTCTGCCCTTACATTATCTAATCAAACCAAAATAAGTGTGATCAGATGCTTTCCCAATTTACAAATGGCGCTGTTTATATCCTGCAAAACTGAAGTGATGAAAATGCTTGTAGCTTCCGAATTCTTAGACTATAGAGATGATTGGCACCATTCTGGTCTCCAATCAGCTCTATGGTCAGCTGGCAGAAACACCGGCTGCATTCTCAGGGGGAATCATCTCCCACTGCTTGTAAAAGCAATCTTGCAGCGAATTAGCCACTAGGATTGCTTTTACATGAAAGTCGATTGCTGGCTGAAAAAAACGATACCAGGATGATGCCTGCAGCTGTAGGCATCATCCTGGTATAACCATTCAAATCCAGTGATGTACCAGTACATCGCTGGTCCTTGTTGGTTATATATGCTATGTTCTTTTTTTTTTTGTATGCAGCCTGTGGAATGAATGAAAAAATGAGAAGAAATCTCTGCCAGAAAAAAAAAGTGTGTGGTGTGCCCACCATTAGAATATACCGCCCTGCATCCACCCACTTCTAATGGTCGGCACACATTAGGTCACACTTTGCCACAAATGCCAGTTCCAAGAATGAACAAATGTCTAAATAGTGGCACGCTTGAATAAAAATTGCCCACGTATAAGTGGTACCCCATATGGAGAAATGATGACACCAAGTCCCAAACTATTGCCACTGCTCCCCATGTAGTCTGGGCATCCGGGGGGCTCCACGTGACTATCTTTTCCCTCGTAAATCCAAAACTTATAAGTATAGCCTGTTGTCCTCTCACAGGTCTTCTACATCTTGACCCCATATCTGGCACGCTTGCTGGGGAGAAATTGTTTGAATGCAAGGCGGCCAGAAAAGTTAATGAGGGACTCCTCAACGCAGATGTTTTGCTGGGGAGTATAGACATCTGCAAATTTTAGGTTAAGGTGATTTGCGAGGGGCTGAATTTTGTGGAGCCGGTCAAATTCAGGGTTACCCCAAGGATGAGAGAGTGTATTGTCGCTGAAATGCATAAAAAACACATTATACTCTCATATCTATGCCTGGCCAAGGCAGCAGAGAACACGGCATATGATGAATCGGGTCCGTGAACCAATACAACCGCAATTCATTTCTTTTAGTAATGCCCATGTTGAGGGTTAGGCCCAAAAAAAAATGTAAATTTGAAAAACCGTAATGAGTTTCCATACGAATGGTCTGGCAAGGTTTGAATTTGGGTTGGCAGCGATAAATTGTTGTGCATATAAATTGCTTTGATCCACAATCAATGCATACAGATATTCCGTGAAAAAACAGCTCCAAAAATCAAGGAGGTATGTGAAAGACCAGGATGTACTAGACCGCTGGTACTACTCGCCAGTTCACCAAAAGGTAGAGCAGCACTAGTACTGGCACTCTGCTGCATATGAGAGTCATCAAAATTTACCGGCAAGTGCTAACAGAGATCAGGTCTGATTCTGCAAACACTGCGGTTTTGTGTACAATGTATCAAGTGACAGTGACCTACTGACACTGCACTTGCTGGGGGAGAAAGGGGGGGGTAAGCTTAGGGGCTAAACGCAGGTGCTGGCAGGTGCCGGGGCTGATCCCGCTAACGCTGCGTTTTTGGGGACGCTATATTAATGTGAACGCTGGCATAGTGCTGACTGATATTGACCAGTTCAGACGCTATACTAGCAATGGAGGATTATTGTACATGAGCGCGTTCCTGCAATCAAGGGGTTAAATGTGATGACTGGTGTACTGACGGTCAACCTGACGCTATCTGGGGGGGTGTGAAAAGCACGGGAGCGCGAATCACGTATATATATATGTGATTTTGCGTACCCATGCCGCCCTGTAGCAGTATTTCTGCTGTAGGGTGGTCAGGAAGCGATTACAGAAGAGGTTTGTGTTACGACGCTGCGTTACTTTAACTGACAATTGCGCGGTCATGCAACACTGCACCCATATTAAATTTACATCCTTTTTTCCCACAAATAGAGCTTTCTTTCGGTGGTATTTGATCGCCTGTGCGTTTTTAATTTTTTGCGCTATAAAAAAAAAAGGCTGACAATTTTGAGAAAAAAAAACAATATTGTTGACTTTTTGCTATAAAACATGTCCAGTAAAAAAAATTAAAAAATCTAATTTTGTCACAAATTTCGTCCAAAATGCATTCTGCGACATGTCTTAGCTAAAAGAATCCCAATACGTGTAAATTAATTGGTTTACATGAAAGTTATAGCGTTTACAAATGGCGGGAAAGATACTGGGATTTAAAATTTTTTTGATACTAATAATGGCAGCGATCAGCGACATATGGCGGCGATCAGCGACTTATGGCGGTGATCAGCGACTTATGGCTGGACTGTGGGACTGCGGCGGACATTTTGACACTGGGGGGGTACTGACTTGGGGTCACTGACATCCCCAGTGACACCAATACAGTGATCAGTGAAAAAGAAACCCACTGACACTGTACTAATGGCACTGGGGAGGAAGGAGTTAACATTTTTATTCACTGAAAGGGTTAACTGTGTGAGGGGAGTGTTTTACTAGGGGGCGGGGGGTGTGTGCTGGATGGGACAGGCTGATCCGGAGAGATAAACTGTTCTCTCCGGTTCAGCTTGTCAGGAGCTGACAGGCAACTGACAGAGAGCAGGGCTGTGTGTAAACAATGCAGCCCTGCTCTCTGTCAGCGATTGCCGCTAATCGCTGGGAAACGGCCGGTAACGACCAGCCCGTGACCCGGCAGCTGAGACCCGCTGCTGTCACCCGCGGGACAGATAGGGCGGGTGCGCGCCTTGCGTGCGCGCCCCGTACCTGTTTTGCAAAACCACGTTTTAAAACGTGGTTTTGCGCAGCCGTGCCGCCCTGCAAACGTTTTTAATGCAGACGCTGGGGCTCAAGTGGTTAAGGACAACACTATCTCATCTGTTTGAAGTGATTCTTATCTTCTAATCATTGTGTTCATGTACCAGAATAGCAAATAAACTGGCTTTTTTCCTTCCAACCCTGAGAGATAAAAAAGGGAGGTTAGAACACAGGAGACAGGAAAGTCAGTTTTTAAACAGCTTCTGTAACTGATCAGAGGGGATGCAATAAATGTTTCATACATATCATTTGCAGATGCAGGAATTAGTGCAGTGTTTATTGGGTGCTGAGAGTTTTAACTTGTATAGTGCAAGGTTCTCAAAACTGCAATGCAGTGAGATAATTTATTGCTTTAAAAACAATTGATATACAGTATGTTATTGATATTACTGTATGAAATTGCGTGACCTTTTCTTAAAGGACCACTAATTGATTTTTTTTAATGTAAAGTTTGAGATGGTAATTATTCCTTGGTTTATCTGACTTTACCAGTTTTAAATACATTATATATACTGTATATACAGTATATATTATTATCATTATTATACAGTATTTATATAGCGCCAAAAAGTTTGCTCAGCGCTGTACATTATAGTGGGAGATAGTACATGAGACAATACAGTAACAATACAATACACGAGGGGTTCGAGGGCCCTGCTCCTTGGAGCTTATATATATAAAAATATATATGTAGGACCCACTAGTGTAGATAGTAATTTAGTGTAGCTAGAGGCTTGCTAGAAGCCTCGGTGTGAGTCAGAGAGTTATTTCAGGTCAGGCTGGAGAGCTGTACAGGTCAGCCCTCTGGTACCTCCCCCTGCTCTAGTAGCTTGGAGAAGTCAGTAGGCAGAGGTGAGGAGGAGCTGATCTGCATATTTATGATAGTCTGACCAATCCCCGGCAGGAGGCCTGACAGTGTTGCAGACTGGCCCATAAAATATTACAGAGCCTGGCGAGCAGGGGAGTCAGGTGCAAGATGGAGGATTGAAGTGCTGCTGTGTAGCCTGGGAGGGGACCCCAGAGAAGGGGGTTCTGCCTCCAAGCTGGAGGTTGGAGGAAGGAGGAGGCTGAAAAATGTAGTTTCACTGCCCCGCAGTTTACAGGGGGGAAGGACAGCCTGCAAAGTAACCAGCCCAGCGGAAGGCTTGAAAGCGGTTCTATACACAGCTGAAGGACAAGGACAGTGTGAGTACCTCTACACCCCCAGGGCCTATCAGGGAGAAGGCTGCTAGATGCGAATTCTTGGCAAGTCTTAAGGGCACAGTCTCATGCTTACCCAATCCCTTGTCCTAGGATCAGATACCATAGCCAGGTGGGCTGGTATATTTTGTTAACAAAGGGGATCCAGAGCTCCTACAAGTTGTCACTTTGCTGAAATTCCACTCAGGGGACACTTAATTCCTAGGAGGGGATTACTTTGCTAAAGACTGTTGTGGTTCCAGCTGGAACATAGTCAAATAGCTGTTAGGCTACGTTCACACTAGCCTTGTGTGCAGGCGGCAGAGGCGTTTGGGAAGCGTTTTTACCGCTTCCCAAACGCCTCTGCCAATTCTGCACATTACAGCACATGGTGCTGTTCTAACGGGAGCGTTTGCGTCGCGTTGCGGCAAAACTGACGCCTCTGGTCGAGTCAGGAGGCTTTGAAGCCAGCCGGCGTTTGCGGTGCGGTTGCAACGCGGTTGCGAGGCGTTTGCGGAGCGGTAACACCACTCAAACTGTATTATAGGCGTTTGTGGGGCGTTATTAACGCTCGGCAAACGCCTAGCAACCGCCACTAAACCGTGCATGCAGCGTTTGCGGAGCGTTTGCCGAGCGTTAAAAAACGCTCCGCAAACGCCGGACCAACGCTTGCCAAACGCTATAGGGGCGTTTGGCAAGCGTTGGTAAAACAGCCAAGTGTGAACGAGCCCTAATTTTTGCAGTGTGCTAGACAAGGACACTATCCTCATTCTTGTTATTCTTCAATCAAGCTGGGCATCCCATAACCCCTTTTCCCTACCCAAGTTGAAATCCCTAATAAATACAAAAAAAAACAAACGCATGTACTATTTCTTTGTGTCTGGATACAAGTTGGAAAATGCATGTTGCCTGGCTGTGCAGGAAATAAGGGAGACCCAAAGTCATCACCTCTCAAGGGGGGGTAGCGCTACATATATATATTTTGCACTTATGTATTTATGTAAGTGTATACCTGGGTAGAATAAAAAAAAATATTCAGTGTATCTATGCAGTACATGCAAATTTCTACATGCTTTATCCCTATAAGCTGCTGCAAATACAGGAAAATAGCTGTTGATCTGCCAGAAATCCAGCGAGCTCCTAACTCTCCATTTGAGCTAATAACACTGCCTCTGCTGCAATGAAATCCCAAGAAGTATTGTCAGCCCTGCCCAGTTATCTTGCACTACATAACACCTCCCCCCTCACCTCCTCTCTGTAAAATAAGCAGCAGCTCAATCCACTTACGTCCTGCAGCCATTCAGCCTCGGTAAACATTGATTAAAATGAGCCTGGACACAGGAAGGGGAAAGCAGCCCAGTTTATTTTCTTGCACACAGGCCCATTGCATGCAGAAAACATTCCTTGGGAGGTGTTTTGTAGTGGCACAAGAAATAACTCAGGCAGGGCTGATAACACTGCTTGGGATTTCAGTGCAGCAGTACCACTGTGTTGCCAGCTCAAACAGGTATCTAGAAGCTCACTGGATAGGAGGATTAACAGGTATTTTCTGTACTTGAAGAGTCTTCAAAGAGACAAAACATGGGAAAAATGCAGACTAGTACTGAGTGTTGTTTTCTCCAGACATAAACTTTAACTCTGTTGGCATTTTTAATCTGATTAGAGCCAGGTAAATCAAGGGATAATATACTATATCTTTTAATTTTACATTAAATGTTTTTGAGCCGACATACAAATATAAAGGGTTTTTGTAAAACCAATTAAAAAAGAAATGTATTTTCGGTTTATTTTCCTGTGTTGACCAGAGTGACCATATGTTGAAAGAGCAGGGCTTTTTTTCTCAGACAATAGGTGCAGGGACTCTCCCTTTCCAAGTCACCCCTTGTCTCCGCCCCCTACCAACCTACGAGCACTGTTCCTTGGTTCCACCCCCTCCCAGTACTGCCATTTTAGAGAATACAGAACCAAGTATAATTTTGTGGTGTTAAGTAATTTGTATGGAATTTGTTAATACCAAGAAAAGCAGAAAAATAGATCCTCTGCAGCCAGCAACAATAGATCCCTCTCCAGCAACAATAGATCCCCCCAGCAACAATGGACCTCCCCTCAGCCAGCATCAATAGACCCTCCAGCAATCAGCAATAATAGACTCCTCTCTCAACAGTAGATCCATCCCATCAACAATTGACCCCCCAACAACAAGAGATCCCCCACCAGCATCAATAGACCTCCCCAGCACAATAGACATCTCCCCGCAACAATAGGTCCCCAGCAGCCAGCATCAATAGACCCTCAAGCACACCCCAGCATCCCTTGCCATTACATACATTCAGTGCTGGAACTGCGTTCCCCCTGCGTTCCCAGCCCTGTGAAAGAGAATCCCTTATATGGCAGAGTTTAGTCTGACCCTAGGTTCACACTGTAGCGGGAGGTTGCGGGTGAGTGAATCACAGCAGTTCCCTCACCCACAACCACTCGCAGCCAAAATGCTCTGCTCTGTAGAGACGTGTGGGGCTCTCATTCACCCCAACGCATCTACACCCACAGCGCATTTGCACGTGTGAAAACCAAAAGAGAAAAGGGTGCAAGAACCATTTTTTTGTGGGAAACGTAGGCACAGCCGCCCATTCAAATGAATGGGCTGCCATGTCCGCGCAAAAGTGTGCCGCAAACTCACTACCGTTTGAATCTAGCCTGAGACAATTTATTTTTACTTTTTAAAATCATGCTGATGTTGAAAAATGATCAGAAGTGAAAATTGCCAGCCTTGACACCGTTTCTTTATATACATTTCCAACAATGTGTCATTAATCCAAAGACTGATAGGCCTGGAAGAATAATGCTATTTATTTTAGGGAACATATTTAAGGAACAGAAGGCACACACATTGTGGAAATCAAGTGCATACTGGTGGAGAAACAACTATGGAAACCTGTATACGTCTTTAATTTCTCAAGAATGTTAGTTTATGAAATCTGATTTCAATGTGTACATCAACAATATAAAGGAAGTGAA